AATTAAATCATACACCCACGCATATAAGATCAACAACAAGAGATGTTCAATACTTTTGCTTCTCACCTTAATCAGTATTGATAGATAAGGGAAGGAAAATGAAGAAGCCAATAGAACAGGGGAGAAGAGAATTCGTGAATCAAACTTCCAGTAGTGACAAACCACCCCCTACACTCTTCTACGATAGACAGATCGAAAAGCGAGAGAGGAAAACTTGATGCATCCATGCAACACGAACAAAGGAGACATAATCGATACCAGTATTCATAATCGAAGAAGAAACGAGGACCTTGAATGGCAACATGTGCACAAGAATAATGTAAGAAAGTTTTGGTCTCAGTGTCTCTCTCACTTTAAATCTTCAGGTGTAAACGTAAGATGAAAATAGAGGAGAAGATTATGCTTCCTAATCAGAAGGAATTCGATAACTGATTTTAGGCAGAGTAGGAAGTTTCAATCATGCCTTAGAATTCAAAATAAGAGCCTTTATCACGTGCAAAAATAGGTTTTTGCTTCCTCTTTCCTTTGTTTTTCCCTTCAAATCAGCCAAGGGTAAATTGGTCCTTTTACTTTTAGAATTAATCACCCCTAAGGACCATGGGACTTCATAATAATTTGCCTTATTTGTGAGAGCTGAAAGTATTTAACTCTGATTTGTGGGACCTTATTATAATTTTTCCCTGTAATTAACATGGCTCAACCACTGGATGAGACCTCATGCAAGCAATCACATGAATATTTAGCTTCAAGAACATTAGAACTAAAGAAAGTCAGTTGTGAATCTTCAGGAGAGGTGGGTCGAGAAGAAAGCCCAGTATCTAGAGACCCCTTTAAAAAATAAGTAGGCCTAACTAAAGAAATGGCTACCGACTTAAAGAAACTCGAGTAAGAGACCCAAATGTCCTTTCGGTCTAAACTCTGGTAGACTGACATTAAACAACCCAAAGAGAAGTGATCGACATGCAAACATGATGAACAAGCACAATCGACATGCTTAAGACAAACAGAGATATAAAAAGATTTACCAGAATGGGTGATGACCTCCATGTGTGGAAGACAAAGCTACCCGATGGGAATAAAAAGAAAAAGAAGTAATTAAAAATATTAAAGATTTGAGAAGATTGGAATATCTAATATATTTTATTAAGATATTTTATTAATTAGGAATATTTTGTTTTAATTGTCATAGTATTTGAATTATTATCATCTTTTCATTTAATTTTAGGATTTTAAGAATTTCTCACATTTAATTCTAGGGTTAAGGTTGAGGCTTATAAATAGTGCCTTAACTCATTTGTTTTGCAAACGTACATTTGATTAAATAAGAATTATCGTTATCTTGTCTTTGCTCCGTGTTTTCTCTTCTTTCTATTCTCTCCACTGATCCCTTTGTCTCTTTTCTATATATTGTTTGCCCTTCTCCTTCCCCATTCTGCATCAATTGCCATCAGAGCCAAGATTCCCACACCACTTCTATTACCAAACCCATTATAAAATACCTTCTCAGTACCAAGAATTATCATACAAAAATGCTTTGGGAGATAAGTTTATAACTTAAGTCTCCTTAAGCTATTCAGTAAGTTTCTTCGATCTTAAATTCTATGTCCCTTACTATTTGTCTCTTTTCCTTATTCCTTTTTTCTATTATTCTTGTTTATTTCCACTTTCCTTCACTTTAAGCTATTCTACCATATTTCCTTCTTTTTGATAATATTTTTTTTCCATATTTTGTTTCTTCCTTCCTTTATTTAATTATTATTCCATTTTTCCTTTCCTTCATTCACTTGTTCAATTTTTCCTTTGATTTAACCTTAAAAAAATTCACCTTATAAATAGTTTGGCCTTATACCTAGGTCAAAATCTACCTTAGAGTAGTCGAAGTTTCTATTAGTTTTCTTGAGGGGTTTCTAAGCCCTTGGAGGTCATTAGGAAGACTTCACTTAAGTTGTTACTTATTTAGCATGTTTGATTCTTGAGGAACTTTTGAGTTACTAAAGGGTTAGACTTATTGAATATGGTGTTCGCCTTTTAGATGAGGACAACTTGAAAACCTTTTCTCAAATAGGATATTAGAGCCTCTTAGTCAAAAAAAAAAAGGATCTCACCTTCCATTGCCTACAATCACAAAAAATGAAAACACATTTAATTGTAATGTTAAGACCTCATTTAATTACTGATATGATTATATTGGCCATCATCAATATGATTATATTGATTGTCATGGATATAATTATCATTGTCATTATGATTGTGCTTATCATCACTACTATAATTACATCAATAATCATCAATGTCATTATTAATATGATTTGGTTGATCAATTAGACTTCAATTTCATATGTTCACGCCTTGAACTTGTGAGAGATAAAATTGAAGAACTCCAAAGCTCCATTCAATTCACATTAAAAGAAAGGCATTGCCATCAAGTTGAGAAAGAGAAGTTATATCAAAAAGAAATAACTCCTAATCCTCTTGATAGTATCTTAAAACATTATAAAGACCCTAATCTTTTGACTTTTAAAGGAGATAATATGCCTAACCAAGACCATGTACCTATATCAGTGATGCTTGCGAGTGATATCACTACTAATTTTGAGAGAAATTAATAAAGTCCAGTTAAATCATATTGATGTTTTTGCTCCCACCCTAAAGATAAGCATTGTTGAGACTTAAGAAGCAACTCTTAATTAAGAAGAAGAGAAATTGTGGAAGTAAATTCTACACATAGTAGCTGAAAATTTTGAGATGATTAATGATGGTATCCAATTTCAGCCTGCTCTTGCTCTGCCTAATTCGTCTACTATGCCCTCTAGTGCTGATGTTATTGCAAATATGGAAGCACGTACTATTCTTGAACCATATGGTCCTCTCCAATACTATTTTATTCATTAAAAATGATTTCCAGATTTGTATGCTGTGTTTCTACATGCTCATATTGTTTGCTGTTCACTTGATGCAATTTATTGATATCTGATTTGCTAGAAAGAGTTTCTAAACAGAGACACAACTTGAAATTTCTCAATCCCATCATACTTTAAGTCGGGGAGAAATTATGGGAAGATCGAATATAATTTATTAGGATATTTTGTTAATTAAGAATATTTTGTTTTAATTATCATAATATTTGAATTATTATTGTTTTTTCATTTAATTTTAAGATTTCAATAATTCTCACATTTAATTATAGGGTTAAAATTAAGGCTTATACATAGCACCTTAATTCATTTGTTTTGTAGTCGTATATTTAATTCAATAAAAATTATTGTTATCTAGTCTCTCCTCTGAATTTTCTCTTCTCTCTATTCTCTCTACTAACCTCTTTCTCTCTTTTTTATATTCTCTCCTCCCTTCTCCTTCCCTGTTCTGCATCACTACCTTAAATTGAAGGCCAATGCTGGAAGAAAGACGATTTATCAAAGAAAACAAAAGAACCTAGATTATTACCGATAAAGGAAGCAACAGATTCAGATAAATAGGCCAGAGGAAGCCCATAGACTCGACACCATACATGAAAGGAAGGAAATCAATCCAAAGAAAAATTAAATTAAATTAAATGACTCAAACCAAGGATAAACTGAATGAGTAAATACTTGAAGTAACCAAACATCTCTGTCTAAGACAAAGTTATGGTCAGAAACAGAACTAAGAAACACAATAAAAGAGGGACCCTGACTCTGAACCACTCTAACTAATCCACAAAGATGCCAATAAACCTTAAATAAAGCTTGGAGTTTGGAGGCATGCAAATTTCGTGAATCCAAAAGCTTAAAAATAAGAAAGTGATCACAGCAAAAGGAAATATGAGAAGGAAGGAACATGTTTAAAAAAGAGCCAAACCAGAGAACTTGAGAAACAGAGAAGGCTGAAAGGAAACGAAGGAAACCAGAGAAAAGAAGACACCAAAAAGCAGAAGAACCTGCCAAGAGAACCAGAGAACTCGCAAGAGAGAAAAGCTCTCTTCCAACTCGCAATTAATGTATTATTAGTCTGACGCTGTCATACCCCAAAAATTTGTAATGTAGATTCACACAAATAACGGTGCGCTCCCTCAGCTCCATTTTATGTAAGATACTTTTTAATGTTATTTGGTGTTCCAAAAATATAATGTTTTGGGGAAAAAAATATGACTTCATTAATTATGATTATCCCATTATTACCCTCATTATTTCACCTTTTTAATATATATATATATATATATGTTCCACTAATCATATTAATTTTGACATTGATGTATAAACCATTTGCGACTTATGTTTCAATTTTTAACATAAAAAGATTTGGGAAAAATCAGCGTGAATGTGATTTTTTTTTTTTGGGGGACAAAATGTGAGTGTGTGATTGTCTTTATATACACACACAGTTTTTATTTGATTCATCTTCCACGCTTGTGTGTGTGTGTGTGTAATATTTATACTTCTTATAAAATATGCCTATTATATATAATATACTTATTATATATATGATATATATTATAAAGTATATAATTTATTAAATATATTTTTATTATCATTAATTTTTCATTGATAAAAAAAATGGTGCATGATGTTTATATGAACATATTAGTATCTTTTATTCTTTAGCCTGACAAATTAAATTATTTGAAATAAAACATCATTTTTAAGTTCGTCCTATGTATGCCCAAATTTTTGTTTTAAATATTTTAAAAAATTATTTTTATTATTTAATTAATTAGTTTTAAATTACTTAACTAATAATATTTATTAAGTTAAAAAACTTGGCCCCCTCAGATTTGAAGCCTGGTCAGCCCCTGCGTTATTGTACAAATGCCACATTTAGTGTCAAATATATGGCTCATTAACGCTTGGTAATAATAATATAAGTATGCCTTAACACAGAAACGTGCAATTCAACGTTATATATGTGTGTGTATGGGGATTTCGTGTCATTTGCTTTTACAAAGAACCAGGTGAGATCTATGAAATTCGATAATACATGCACAATAGACTAGTCAACATGGTTACGAAGATTTACAAGTTGAAACTTCATTCCAATCAAACAAAAGCCCCAAATTTAAAAAAAAAAAAAAGATAGAAATTTAATTCCTGTCTTCTCCTGCTTATAGAAATTTAATTCCTGTCTTCACCTGCACTGAACTGGCTTCTTAAAAAAGAAATAGTCCACTGATTTAATGAAGGCTGGAGAGTCTTACAAGAGCTTAATTTGGACCTAATTCTGAAATAAGGCTATGACAGAAGATATTGTCTGCACTAAGGTGAGCAAAAGAAGCAGAATTGCTCCAAAAAAAGATGCTATCCTCCAGGGAGTGCTCATGTATTCCTTCTTAAAGATAGCCATGTACCTGTGACACGAGCTATCATAAATCTTGTTCAATTCTTCAAATAGAGTGATATAATCTCTATTGAATTTTACGTAGCGAGTATGTCCGCCCAGTCTGTTGGTTATGGCAGCCACTGCATCACTGTCCCCTATGTTGTTCTTTACAATGCCCTTTTCAACAAGCATTTCGACATCTTTTCATGTTTCGATAAGATGTTCCAAGAGGATTATGTAATCAGTCATGCTTCTTGACGAGGGCAAGTGACACTGCTCGAATGCAACCACATTCCTAAGCATGGTCTCTGTCCCATCATTTACCACAATTCTTGGTATCTTCAACACTCCCTTTGGATGTTTCAGATCAAGTAAGCTTAGTTCATCTTCATTGACCTCAAATTTAATTCCTGCATCATGCAGTTTGCTTGCACTGTACACAGGCTTCATTGATCTGGAATCCAGTTCCCTTGGTATTTGATCAAGTCTTACGTAGAAGACTCTTAGCATATCACACAAGTGATGTACTTGCACAGTACCATCAGGTTGTCTTGGCAGATGGTGTTGTACAAAGTATGAGAACGTAAACTTGCTGCGAAGTTCTCTGTTAGCAAATATAGTTCTCAGGAAAGCGCTATGAAAATAGCAGAAGGTAACGGACTCAAATGAATGGTTGCGATGGTAGCCATTGGGAAAAGTTAGGCCAAACAGGTCTTGAAGAACAAAAAATGGCAGCTGATTTTCAAGCAAAATCAAGTCTAGTTTTATGGTTAATGACCATAGCTTGGAATGCCAAGGTACGCTATCTAAACGTAGAAGAAAATATTCAATGATGAAGCAAGCATCAGTTAGAATCATCCTTACAAATTCATCGCTCTCCATTTGGATGGTCTCTGAATAACAACGCCGAATTTTACCTTCCTGATCTTTGAGGACTTTGACATAATCATCTAACAATTTCTCTTGATTAATCCTCTTCAAAAATTTGTAGAGGAACCATAATTTGACCTCTTCCATTGATTTCAATCTCTTGTTTCCATGGTGATATGGGCCAATGGAAACTAAAGTTGGAGTGTAGGCTTTTTTATTCATGTTTCGAAGTTGTGGTGGCACTCTGTAGATACAACTTGATAGCGTGGGAAACTCTAAATGGTCCATACTTTCTAACTCAGCTTTCAGGGAGATTAATGAATCAGCTGGTTTTCGTAAAGCACTTTTCTTTCTCCCCATTCTATGGGACAATTTGGCAGACAGCTGAAAATTAAAAGATTTTATAAATATCTTCAATTACCTTTAATAATAATAATAATAATAATAATAATAGCAGTAACAGCAGCAGCATAAGGAGCCACTCTGACTGGTCCTAAACTGTGAAATGTAACTCCTCCTGAGCCAGCGCTAGTTATAATATAACCAACGTACACATATAATATGCATATCATGTAGGTTCTTCTCCTCCTCCGTTTTTGTAATTTTTTTTTTTTCCTCCCCATGTAAAAGTAAGAAATGAGCACATGTTTCTATAGTTGTGACAACCATATAACGTCCACAGTGAAAATTCTTAGAGCGCTAAGCATATTTAGCACTCTTCTGGCAAAAGCAAAACAAAATAAGAATTTAATTAATCCCCCCTCAACTTCCTAGCTTTAATTTTATTGATTTTTTTAAGAATATATATTTCAAAAGAACATTTCTCTTTTGTTATTCTTAGTAAAAAATTCTTTGTAAAAATCTCTAATGACCAAGAATTTTCTTCATTGATGATGACTAACAAATCAAGCTTTTCTAAACTTCTTTCTTTTCCCTTCATTCTCTTGGGACAATTCGGTACATGTACAGCCTGCCAAAGAAAAAATATTTTACAGACGTGAAAGACATGTAAGGTACAAATTGATTGATAAAACAATAGAGTGATAAGAATTATTTCTTCTATTTTCTTGCATTCGATTTATTGAATTTTTAGAATTCTTTCGAGAGAAATTTTTTGGGAAAATCAATTCTAAGTCCCATAGAAAAGAATTAATTACCAAGAGGTTTCATGATGAAACACACAAAATATTTTCAAGTCCCAATTTTTGTACATTAGCAACTTAATGAAGAACATTTACAATTGAATAAAAGACATTTATAATTTGCTATTAAAACCATACCCAAGTTGTCACTTTTCTTGGTCCAGTTGTAAATGCATGGGATTTAGGATTTGGGATTATTTTGTGTACTCTATAAGACCTCTTAGTAATTTTTTTTTTTTTGTAGAACCTAGGTGTAATTTTTCCAAACTTTTTCCTTTTTTTGGTAAGAGAATTACAATTTTTTTTGGTAGCTAACAATTTTCTTCCATTCTTATGAAATTAATTTAAAAAATGAATAACATCCTGTCTTATTTTTCTTTAGTTTAATGTTATTAGCTTTCTTTTATTGTTGCTGCCTAAAATAATATCGACCGACATCACTATCAAATTCAAAAGCCCAAATCAAAGCCCATACAGAAAATCAGTTCATGAAGTGAAAAGCATGGGCCTCAATTTACAGTTAAATACTTTTGCTTATAAAGAATGTTCAGTGGAGTTAGATTACATGACTTACGGAGAAAATTTAGAAGTACACGTAAATTATTCACGTATCAATAAAATTCTTACATTAATAATGAGATCTAAACCCATATTTTTATAAAATAAGGGTCAACAACTAACCAAATGGACCTAAATATTTTTATGGGGCATCTCAAGTGAAAATAGCTTCTCCTGTCCTAAATGTAAGATTTTCTTAAGTAATTTAGAGAGTCCAAAAAATAGATATGTTGATTACTGATAATTAATATGTAGAGAAATCGTCACAGTTTTTACCCGCATCCATTTAAATATTAAAACTTAATGCGTGGAGATACAAAATTCCCAATAAATAGGGATATTATATATAGGGAAAAAAATTAATATAAGAGATGATAAAGAATAGGACCTTATAATTTGGACCAAACTCAAACCCCCAAATAAAAATTATATTATATTTAGAACTAGATGACGTAGTACCTCTAGGCAGCATATTTTGACGTATAAATTTTAGTATAAATAATGATAGTCGATAATAACAACAATAATAATATTAACAAACCTCATTTTATTTGGTGGATTTTTCTTTCTGGTAATGCTCTAAATCTGATCTTAAAGGCGAGTAAGCTATAAGATGGAAAAAAGGAGATAACACAAGGATTTCAAAATTAGCATCTGCAAATAGAGAGTATATTAAAAAAAAAAAACACACACACACAGAGACAGAGAGAGAGAGACATAAACTAACCGCCTGACGATGGTTTTGATTATTGAACTTGAGGAAATGAAAGAGAAGATCAGCAGATAGGAGAAGAGATCGATCACGACCAGTCAAGCTATAAAACCTGAGGATGAAGTGCTTGATGCCTTATGCTATGCATTGTATAAATAGGAGTCAAGTCAATCTCAAGTCTTCCCTAATTAGGAGCCCTTCCTTCTTCATGGCATGTCCGCCTAACCTGACATGGCTCAGCTGAGTAGTTGGGACTTTTTAATTACATACATTTATGACAAAGTATATATACGTCTCATGAAATAAATTTATTTATAAATAATTCTTATACAATTTAAAAATTACAATTAAATCTGATGAGACCTGAGTCTAAATTGAGGTGCAAAGATAACATTATCTCTATTAAAAATGCATTACATTGATTAAATAATTTACAATAATTTCATGAATAATTTATATATAACTATGTCAGTTCAATGTTTTATACAAGTTTAATACTCTCTCCATCTCTATACATAAGAAGTTTTTTAAAAAATTTTTTATCCTTAAATATAAGAGGTTGTTAGCATATTTTTTAATGAATAGACTATTTTATCCTTATTAAATTAGAAAAAGAAAAATATAAGTACTCTTATTAATTTACTTTAAAGAAAGAGATTCATTTTTTATTTACAATAATTAGGGGTAAAATTGAAATGTTACTGTGCTTTTAATTAAATAATCAACTTTTATTTATTTGTATAATTCGGTTAAAAATATCTTACATATAAGAACAGAAGGAGTATTAATTTTATACAACTACTTCATTAGTAACTTATAATTATGACTTTAACTTTTTATAACTGTAATTTCATATATCAAATAAGTAAGGGCACTATTATATTTGCACCCTAATTTTAAATTATACTTAGGTCTCAAGAGACTGGCTGTGATTTTTAAATTTTACAGCATTTATTTGTAAATAAATATACTTTATAGGACATATATGTAATTTTTTTTTATTTATTTATTTTATGTCTCCAAAATGACATCATCACTGACGCTTGTAAGTTCGTCACCGCTGCTTGAATCATACTTCCTCACATGCAAATTTTAAAATATTTTTTCTCAGATAAATTTAATCTAAATATTTTAATTTTATTTATAAAACACTTTAATGGTTATTGTTTTTATCTTTATCCTTTTGTCCATATTAAATATTTGATTGATGAAATTACAGAAAATAATTCAAGAGAGATATATTGGGATAAAAGAAAGAGATGTCTTTTCTAGTCTTATTTATAAAGCAGAGAAAAAAATTTTTTTATCCTATTTATAAGTCTTGTCATCAATTTTTTTATTATAAGTTTTTTTTACCTTCTATTAAATGTTAGTGTGAGAAAATATGTTATTAAAGTAGGTATGTTTAATAAGAGTAAAATTTAAAACTTATTAAATTTTAATATAGATTTAATGAATTTTATGGTTGTTTTTTATTCTAATAAAATCCATTTGATTTAAAAACCATGGCCAGCTACCATTCTTTGTTTGTTATGCCTATTCGACCTAACATTTTCCCTTGGTTTCAATATATATTAATTTGTAATAGGCTCAAAAAAAATTCAATGATTTTTTTCATTACCATACTAAAGGAAGTTTTTTAAATAATTGAAGTTTTTTTTAAAAAAAAATGGTATCTTAAAATCGCCTACGCAACCATTAAAGACAAAAAAAAAAGAAAGAAAGAATTCGCATGCTAATAAAGTGTTTATTCTCATAAAAATATGTGTTATTTTCCTGTTTTAGCCTTGCTCAATTACCAATACTGAAATAAATTAAAAATGACGATCCTTCCTATAAAACGCTTACCAATAGAATTGCTCCCTATGAAAGTATGGACGTCGGGTGAACACAACGAGCGCTGCGAGAATGAGGTTGCATTTGTTCCAAGAAAGTCTTTCCAACTTCATCTAACGTGGTTGTATAATCCAAGTGCGTGCATGCATTCATACTTTCATAGTAAACCGTGAAGCGAGAGATTTAGATAAAAATTTAGGTTCATAATTACAAGGATAAAATGGGATTTTTTTTTTTTTACTTGTACAAGGCTACTAATATTTTGAATCAAGTTTAGCTGGGAAACTGCTTATATTTTGGACTGGAAGGAGTAGTAAGCATACTCTATATTGTCCTAATTATTGGGCTAAGTTAAATAACATTACAATTTTTTAGAGATGATAATTAAAATTAATATCCTAATACTTGGAAAAAAAATGTTGACTTTTCAATTTTGTCCTTAATTAAAATTAAGATTAAGCTAAAATATACAAAACTTTCATCAATTTTAAGATAGTTGCTAAGGATCTCTCATTTTTTAAAGTTTAAAATTAACCTCCTTAACTTTTTTATATTCACAGGCTCCCCTACTATTATTTTTAAATTATCTTACTAACAAAAATTAACGTGTCATATTGAGAAAAGACATGTTGCAACTTATGTGACATTCAATGTAAGTTTAAAATAATAAAAAAATATAAATAAAATTTTTTTAAAGCTATTATTTAAAAACAATGCAATGTTATCCTTACCGTTCACAAAATGTATTAAACTTTGACCATTAATTTATATGAAAATAACAGAAAATGATTTCAAAAATTAGAGAAATGCCTTTTTTCTCATTTTTGAGCTCTTTCTCTATCATTTGCTTAGTCTTTTTTAGTAATTTTTTTATCAATTAACAAACAAAATTAATTTTTGTTAGCAATAGGGGATACATTGCACAAAAAACATTGCAAATAATAAGTTCAGAGTCCTAGATGCTCCTAGAGATATAGTTTAGGGGCTAAATTGTCCTTTAACTATTTTATTTTTATAAAAAGCTTTAGAATTAGGGCAAGGAAACACTTTATAATTAGGACTAGAGAGCAAATGAATCTTGTATATGTAAGGATTCTTGTACTGTGTTTTTGCTTGCATTTCTATTTCTATGTTTCTTTTTATTTTTTCTATTTTTATTTCGGTTTAATATGTAATTTGGACTATGAACTATAAATTTAGAGATGATTTGAACTCTAAACTTTTATTTGATAAATTCTAAAACCTAAATAATTAAAATTGATAGAATTTCACCCCCACCATTAAATTAAAAGCAAACATCCTTTATTTTTTTAAAAAATGGGGCCTAATATGCAATTTCCTGAAAGGATGGTATGTGAGAGAGAGTGTGAAATTTGATAAAAAAAACATGTATTACGGCACATTTTTTTAAAAAAAATAATGGAGGTTTGCTTTAATTTAATAGTGGAGGTAAAATTGTACTAACTTTAATTGTTTAATGTTCAAAATGTATCAAATAAGAGTGTAGGGTTCAAATCGCCCTTGGACTTATAATTCAAGACCCAAATTGCATATTAACTCTTCTATTTTTTCTTTCAATAAATGCTTGGTTGATATAAATTCAATGTCGGGCTAGGCCAAGCCCGACTATTATTTATCTATATTCATTATTCAAATACTTTGACGCCAAATATTGTGATGCCCATCTCTTCAAAGTGTATAATAATAAGCACACGTTATCTGAGTCTAGCAAGAATGGACTTCATGATTTGGCTTTACCAAAAAAAAAAAGGAGAGGAGATATATGAAATTCAATAATACATGCACAATAGACTAACAAGCCAAGATAGTTAATTAATTACGAAGAAGTACAAGTTGAAACTTCATTCCAATCAAGCAAAGGCCCCAAATGGGGGAAAAAAAAAGATAGAAATTTCGTGTCATAGATCACTTCGTTTGAACTGGCTTCTTAAAAAAGAAATAATCCACAAATTTAATGAAGCTAGGCTTGACAGTCATACAAGAGCTTAACTTGGACCTAAGTCTGAAATAAGGCGATGATAGAAGATATTGTGCGGATTAAGGTGAGCAAAAGAAGCAGAATTGCTCCAAAAAAGAATGCTATCCTCCAGGGAGTGCTCATTTATTCCTTCTTAATTAAAAATAGCTATGTACTTGTGATATGAGCTATAATAAATCCTGTTCAATTCTTCAAATAGAGAGATATAATCTCCATTGAATCTTGTATAGGCAGTATGTCTACCCAGTCTCTTGGTTATGGTAGCCACAGCATCATTCTCCCCTATGATGTTCTGCAGTATTCCATTTTCAACGAGCATTTCAACATCTTTTCCTGTTCTAATATGATATTCCAAGAGGATTATGTAATCTGTCATACTTCTTGAGAAAGAAAACTGACACCGCTCGGATGCGACCACATTTCTAAGCATGGTCTCTGCAAGATCATCTATCACAATTCTTGGTATCTTCTAAACTCCCTTTGAATATCGCAGCTCAAGTAAGCTAAGTTCATCTTAATTGACCTCAAATTTAATCCCTGCATCATCATATAGTTTGCTTGCACTATATACAGGCTTCATTGGTCAGAAATTCCGTTCCCTTGGTGTTTGATCAAGTCTTACATAGAAGACTCTTAGCATATCACACAAGTGATGCACTTGCACAGTACCATTAGGTAATCTAGGCAGGTGGTGTTGTACAAAATATGGGAACGTCTACTTTCTGGGAAGTTCTTTATCAGGAACTATAATGGTAAGGTATGCAAGACAAAAATAGCTGAAGACAATAAAATAAGTGTTCGTCATTGTAGCCATTGGGGAAAGTTAGGTTAAATAGGTATTTAAGAAAAAAAAATGGAAGCTGATTTTCAAGCAAAATCAGGTCTAGTCTTACATTGTCTAGTGACCATAGCTTGGGATGCCAACATTCTGTATCTAGATATAGAAGGAAGAATTCGATGATGAAGCAAGCATCAGTTAGAATCATCCTTACAAATTCATCGCTCTCCACTGGGATGCTCTCTGAATAACATTGTCGAATTTTACTTTCTTGATCTCTGAGGACTTTGGCATAATCGACAAATAGTTTCTAACTCAGCTTTCAGGGAGCTTAATGAATCAGGTTTTTGTAAAGCACTTTCTTTTCCCGCCATTATTTGCGACAATTGGGTACACAGACTGAAATTAAAGTATAGAGGATTTTTTTTATAATAAAAAATATAAATGAGTTAAATCTCAAAAGATCACCAAAATCAAGATA